ATCCGCGGTAATTAGGTTTTACAAGAATAGATCAGTAATGGTTGTATTCAAATCCTATACAAGCTTTTTATAACTACTAGCATAACGTCAAATCAGTACAATGCATTAGCTGAACTAATACTGACCTTTTAGAATTTTACTGAAAATTTATAAGGTATAACCATCTACATCGTCATTGGTTCTCATATAAACACCTATATTCATTAATGATTCTTAACAAATGAAAGGTTTCATCCATAAAAGTAAATATAACCAAATAATCATGTAAAATTATATTACATTTATATAATTCATAGTACATTCTACTTATATCAATGCTAAATACTAGTTGATTATATACTATTCTCACAGTCTATCTTAGTACAACACATTCGGAAATTTTTTCAAAAAAAAATATGTTCTGGACACGAGTAATCAATATATCCATTATATACAAGCATAAATCTAATTTGTCCATTTCTAATTGAGTTTAAATATATACACAAGCATATTTATTGAAAGACAAGTGGAAGTACATTGAAGTTGTTGTTTTGTTTTTTTTCAAATTTGTTTCTTTGCATTTTTTTTTCTTTCCAAAAATAAAAATGGAGATCGATTCATTCCTAGAATTTTTTTAAAGCAAATTTATTTTATTAACGTATTATATTAGTAACTTGTAACGTTGAATTAATTCGATAGTTTCAGTGGACTAGTGGTGTATTTTCAGTTAAACAATAAAATATTGCACATTACAATCCCCCTAAGTGTTTGTCTTTATAAACTAAGTATTTATAAAAAGTCACTTGATGAATAGTTACAAAAAAAGAAAACTCTTGTTGGCATAGCATTCGAATGCACATTTGTGAGTGAGTATGTCTCTATTCAAAGGGCTTTTTGTTGAATAAGTATTTCAATAGTTGAATTCATGTGTTGACGTAAGCTAGACTATCATGAAAAACCTGGAAGCACTGGTTGCCCAGCCATTCATAGATCGACAGAAGTTACACATTAACACCATTAGATACCAACCAGCTCAATAGACTAGAGGTTAATTGTTTGCATGCGTGACCTAAAGTCCTGGGTTCGAATCCCACGAACGTGGTCGTGGGTCCGCACTGATGGGGTTAGTCAGTTAGTCGTCTACAACACAGGACCAGGCACATACATGCATCGGTCCTAGTTGCCATACCTCATTAGCACAACAAGATAAATACCGAATTCATAAAGTAGCTAATTCAATGATGGTATTATATTAAAGAAAGATTATATATAAGGATATAGTACAGGAGGAAAGAATTAGTTCGTAGAAAGAAAGGTATGAGTCGATTTTAATCTCATAATTTAAAGGAAGATAAAGAGTGTATACACCTACACCATTGTGATCGATTCTGAGCCATGTCACTCAGAGTCTCCAACCATTGATTACGAAAGTCGCGCGAACCCCAACCAAATAGTCTGCGTCTACCAACATGGTTTGGACCAGAAGTTAGTGACTTCAAGGACTGATGACACGTTCTGGTTTGGCGACCCCTAACTTTCTTCTAACCATCTCCAACACCGGTTAGGATTGCACGTCGTGGTAATCGGTGTTCAGTCATACGTAACACATGGCCGAATCATCTCAGTCGATGAAAATTCACAATCTAATCAACTGATTCACAATCATTCTCTAATACCCTAAATCTAACCACACTATTAGTTACCCGATGATGTCATAAGATGTAAGCAATATTTCTGAGGCATCTGTGGTCAAACACTAGCTTACAAGTATCTTCTACTCTTAATGACTATGTTTTGCAGCCATAAATAACAGAACGAAATGTTGAGCATTATGCTCGTCTTCTCGCCTTCTCCATAGGTGACGTACGTTGGCAAAAGTCAAACGAGCTTTTCGAACCCGTGCAGAGATTTCGTCGGGCATCAACCCATTAATGTTGATCAGACCTCTGAGATAAGCAACGTTGTCGACGCGTTTGGCTGCCTCACTCCCTATCCTTAGTTCAGGTATAGACGCAGGCCAGTCCTGAAGAGACAACTTGCATTTAAAAGAAGGAGAAACGCATATCAGACATCTCGGCATTGTTGCTCGGTGCTACCAAAAGACTCTGAATTTTATCAGCATCTTCACCAAACAGGACTGTGTCATCTGCGTATCTAAGTAGATAAGTGGATCTCTTGGTAGGAGATCAGTGCTCGAGAATTCGATCAACGAAAACCCTGAGGAGTCCCACACTAGTACAAAATGGCCATCCAGTGGTCCCATGTTTTTCATGGTGGTCTAGCTTACATCGACCCATGAATTCAACTATTAAAATTACCACAATCTCTACAAACCCCATTCTCTGAATAAGTATTTACCAAACTTTAAAAGTAAATTATTTTCTGAAATAAAACTGTGAATTAAATGTCATTAATTTATACACAAATACACTATAATTGATTAAAACAAATGAATAAAAAGTTCACTGTAGACTATTCACATAAGTTAAATATTTTAATGTAGAAAAAGTACATTCATTTATTAATTACTTTAATTAAGACTAAGATGTAAGACATAATGACTGTAATTCAAATAGGTGTTTAAGCTGATAAATAATCAGAGGTTATTTATATCAACTTTACCGTAAAGCAAATATCTTTTAATCACTAAACCTTTTTCAATAAAAACAATTACTTGATAAATTCACTTGGTTTTCTCAATGTTATTTAGGTCTACAATTGACCAGTTTCTTGTTGACATATGTGCATCATGTGCGAATTGCCGAGACATCGCCTTAATTCACAAGCTTTTTATGCAAAGAAGGAGAGTGGCTAGCAGTGGAATCCAAGACGCGCGTTTCGTCCTAATTGAGACTCGTCAGTTGGACGAAACGCGCGTCTTGGATTCCACTGCTAGCCACTCTCCATCTTTGCTTAATTACTTGATAAGTTTATCATCTGAATAATTTATTTAATTGTAATTACAAATGGAAAGTATTGAATTTTTACAACACATTTGAAGGGTGAGTTTATCAGAGTTATATTCTAAAGTAATTTATTTGCAACAAAAATTAGTATCGTTTAATCTAGTCCAATTGAATAAATACTGAACTGATGATTTATGCATTATACACTAAAAATTGTACCATAATATGTGAGTTTATAATTATTTAATCAATTAAAAATGATTTTGTTTATTACTTTTATTCAATCTGAACACATTTCATTTTGTTATGTAATAAATTTGACAAGGTAAAGTAATAAATAAGATTCAATGTCAATATTAGTTTGACTTTAACATGAAAATTTGATAACCGATAGAAGTGAAACTGTTTTATTAATATGTAGTGTTTATCTAATTAATTATATTGTTTGATTTTACTTAATATATATCATCATTTATCAACTAGCAAAAATTGATAAACTTAACTACAAATCGACCCTCACAGTTGATTGACCACTGGGTGGTGATCAATATCATGTGTGTCAAGTCCTTCTTAGTGCAGATCAAATGCTATCGACCAAGTTCCAATGTGGCTACCAGTCTAGGTGACTCGACATTACATGCACTACAGGAGATCGGTCGCGGCCCGAATAGCCCAGTGGTAACGTCTCTGACTGTGAAACTCGGTGACATGGGATCGAATCCGTCAGGAATCACCAGTTCCATCAAGATTATAGGTACACCTTGCTGATGAGTGCCAAGTAGCACGAAACCCGGGTCCAGGGTTTTCTGTTGACTACCTCCAACCACCATCTTACGATCCTATCCAACAAAGCATAACTTAATAATTCTGAATGACTTTTAAGTGTGTTATAAAAATGATGTTCAATAAAATGATAAATGACCAAAGCAATTAGCTAAAAACCAACAAGTTATGTATTTTCACAGACAATGGTAGTGTCAATCGTTAACATTTAAAATAGATTTCAACATTTTATTACCTTAGAATACTTTTATAGATCATATAAAATTAAAATTAATTCTTATCAGAATGGGTTTTGTGGAGATTTTTAGAAATTTCACAAGTTGAAATCATGAGCCAATTGAAGCTAAACCACCATGGAAAACCTGGAAGCACTGGACGGCCGTTTCGTCTGTTATTCCAGAATACTTAAGCGCAGTCATATTTTGCATCCATTTTTATTTAGAAGGAATTAAGTCCAGATTATCAGTCAAAATTAAGACTTTTTTGGTGACTCGTTTGTCTGATTCCAATTTCAAAGAATGAATGAATTAAATATGGACATAAATCTTCCATCTAACTTGATAAATTACTTAGATTAACCCTATTTATCTGACGACTATAATAAGACGCTAAATAAGGGGTTGCGTTTGATGAATTTATTTTAGGCACTTATTTTTTCAGACAAACATTAAGAATGAGGAGTGAGAAAACGAAGCGTTGAAGCAGGTTGGAAAAGGCAAACATCCCAACTCTGTTTGATGACGCTTGACTCAATATTTAGAGCCAGACAAAAATAAGCCGAAGGTAAGTGATGAACAGGGTAAGCAATACACACATACACTCATATAAAAAGTCAATGTTAATAAGCACATAATTGGCAAGATCAAAATATGAGTCAAGGGGAGTGAATAAATCGATCTATCTGAAAGCTAAAATAAAATATTTGGGCTTGACATAGTACTAGACACTACATTTTAACACTGGGGTTTCGATTATAATATATTACATATTGTTTAATAAGTTCAAGTTAAATTATTCCGCGATAAGTTATTTGAATTATTTTAGTTTGATTCATTTCATCAAAAGAAAAATGAAACAAATAAATAAATACATGAAAATTAAACTGTCATCTACATAACATTTTCAAATGAATGTACGGACAGTGTACTTCAGTTTTAAGATTCTACAATTAAGGCAACTATTTTTTTTCTCTATAGCTTATCGAAAAATCACATCCTGTTGTTGAAATTAGTTGGTTAGATTCCACTAGGTTCATTTTAAAAAAAAACAATGAACAAACCGTTGTACATTTATACATCATTATCATTCTTAAAATATGTAACTATTACTTACCTCCTTGAGGGAAAAATTTACAGTAGATATCTTTAAATGAATCTTCATTAAGTGTACCAGCTGGACATTCCTAAAAATAGCAAAAATAGGGGAAGGAGAAAATAACTAATTTTAAAAATCCCCTTAAAATGTTGAAAATATTTTTCATTTTCTTTATAAACAAATTGTTTGAAAGACTTTAAACAGGATACAGTGAATACAATTCTATCAATCTTCTTTAAAGTCTCTCATGACCGTCATTTTTATTATTTTTCAAATGATTGACGCAATAGAAAACTTCGTCACATTTAATAATTAACTTTATCAATAGAAATTTCACTAAAATAGGTGATATTCTAACCAGGTTTTTATTAATCAATCAGTCAGTTATACTCAACATAAAAACCTAGTACATATGTACATTAGTTCAGTTTGCTACGCTCCATTAATACAATGAAATGAAATTCTCAAAGCAAACCCTATCATTGTAGAGGAACTATCAGTATTAGTTGTAATAGAAAAGATTAGGCATTGAAGATAATAATGAGACAAGAAAATATATTTTTGTGAAATAAGAAATTTTATAGGGAAGTCAGAAATGTGAGACCTAAGAGAAGACTAAGGATGAATGCACCTTTCCAATTATGATCGATTTAGAGCTATGCCACATAAAGCCTAAAATCATTTGTTACGATAATCACGTAAACCTCGAACGGGTAGTCTCCACTTACCTATATGACTGAGTTCAACATTCAGTGTTTTTATGGATTGGCCTCATATCTTCGTTGTACCATTATTAATTGTATTCCAACCTGTTACTACATCAGATATCACAGCATGTAGAGTTGGTCGGTGGATGGGCGAGTGTAATAAGTGTTCAAGTTATCACGGTTGACAAAGATTCATTACCGCGTCAGTAGATTTGCCAAACTTACCTAGTACTTTGCCATTAACCTCAAAATTGCCAATTTGCTGGTCCCAACAGATATGAGCAATGAATCAAAGACACCCATGATTGAATCCTAGTAATCTATGAATATTCGCTACTTTTAAAAACCATGTTTCACAGACACAAAATTGAGTGGACGAACTGCCGAGCAGTAGAGTCGTTTTTTATTTGGCAGATGGGTATCTCACTTATGCCACAAGTGACATAAACTGACAAAAGCTAGACAAGTTTTCCGAATCCATTTACAGATTTCGTGAGACACCAACACAAGTGAATTGATGGACCTACTCAAATTTTTCACCATCTATCATTAATTCAGAAGCTGTTGGACACCAGTTTTGAAGCAAAATTTGGCATTTAGAAGGGAAAAAACGTATCCTAGATATGCTTGAATTGTTGAGTAAAGAGGTTAGAAGACCTTACATTTTGTCAGCGTCTTCACCAAATAGAGCTATAATATCTGCGTATTCTAATTTAATAAGAGAATCTCCTAATGGGAGGTCGGTTCCTGAAAATTCAGATGATGAGAGTGTTGTCCTCAACATATATCCATGAAAAAGTCAAATAAAAGTGGGAAAATAAAAAAATAATGACCAGCAGAACTTAGAGTTGTTAATCCCGTCTATAGTGTTCGAGTAGAAAGCTTATACACATATATACAGATGTGCAGTTGAATAATAAATTCACTGAAGAGATCCCTTCGATGAATACCTTGTTTTCCATGTTTCGATAAACACTGTGAAATTACACTCCTAATGTTTCGGTCAATCTGATAAGTTGAGAATCGATTTTTTTTTCATTTACTTCTATCTTTCGTTAGCATGTAAAACTATTACAAATTACTGTGTACATTTGAAATGATTATAAATGTCAACGAAAGATGTCTTGAGGGGTTGTAAGTTTAAATATTTACTGAGCATAATTAGGTCTTTTTTGATGACTTTATTTCGTTCAAATGAAAAGTAAATGATTATTTCTAATCTATAAGAGTAATAAATACATTTGATCACCATATATAAAATGGTATATCAAGCGATCTCTGTTCAGAAAACTTTCATTAAATAGTTCGAGTAGACTCAAGTGTTGTGATTTTAAGTGAACGATATGAAATGATCAGCAGTTTCAGAAAAGATTTCAGTTCAAACGTGAATAAACCAACTCCCATAGGTTATTTTTTTAAAAAAAAAAGCTGGCAAAAAAATTACTTAAACTAGAGATATTTGTTTACGCTATTTGTCTGATGAGTCCATAACTTATCAAATTATTGACACTTTCAAATTACACTGTCAGCTAGAATAAAATGTAACAAAATTCTTTATCGACTGTTCGTGGTTCTTCAAAAGTAGTTGTCATGATGAAACATAACAGATCCTTTTTGAAACATATTAGGATATCGTGCTTTTGAAATCTGTTCACATTCTACATATTAACCTTTTCTAACAGAATTTATAACATTGACAATCATTATTCACCTTAATTACTCAGTAAACCTATCATAAGAATGAAAAAGTAGAGAATTCACTTTTTTCACGATGGTCTAGCTTTAATTAACTCATGATTTCAACTATTGAAATTCACTTTTTATTAATTATATTTACGTTTTATTCAATCAACTAAGTAAGTTGATATGGTTTCGTATTCACTTATATTCTACTCTTTTTATTTCATAAAATTAAAAGTTGCATTTATTGTTAATGTTTACCGGTTTATGTTATGTCCCGATAAGAATAATGAATGGTAATTTTTGGGGTCTACTTATGGACAAATAATATGAGTACATTTTTATCGTATAAATGTTATGTAACTAAACTATTCATATTCATGTCCCTCTTATTGTGAGCTTTATTTTGACCTATGAACTATTACTATACGATCTACCATTCTTGAATTATGCCCTGTCTATTATTTACTACCTCCCTCATTCATAGCCACATTTGGCTAATGCTTGTACAAATGTTGTTTCATATTTTGTGGTACGATGTGGTCTGTTTGGTTGGTATATAAACTCAGTATGTTTGAAATAAATTGTTCATTTGTAGAGGTTGAGATCTGTGTTCTGGACTTAACTGGCTGGGCTAGGCACGAAGCACAGCCAACAAGGACTCTAGACTGCTCTTACGGGTTTACGCGTCATTGACCCGATCGATAAGTCACTGCTCTCTAATTGGCGGTATCGTTACGTTATACATTAACAGGGCATATAGTTCACAAGTTATAACAGTTTATATTAGTTATATTTAGAAATAAAACAAGGATTACAAAAAAGCTGACTTATTAAAAGTCAAGAGATTAACAAATTTATCAGTGGAAACGTTTTTTTCATGTTCAAGTTGATTTTTATGAATCCATTTATATATACTGCCGTCAAACGGCTTATCTTTTTTGTTATGAAACGATATTAGTTTTCAACTTTCTCAGTAATTGAGTTAGTTGAGTTCTAGAATGAAATTATGTAGATTGTATACAGGAGATAGAAAGTTGGTCATTTAACATTATCATCAATGAACACTGATTAGTACTAAATTCTACCAATTTTGTTAATCGTTTTTATTTATGGAAAATTGATTGTTTCTCGATTATTCTTTCCTAATTTGAATATTATTCAAGGAGACTAAATGAAATATTGTGAATACTTTGATGTGAAGCTCTTAATGCTTCTATTATTGAATATAACAGTATTTTTAGTTGAGACTGAATGAAGTGTTTCACTCTGAATAAAGAGTATTTTGACCACTGATAATTCTTTGACAGTGATTTCATATTTAATTTAGTAAGAAAACTTATTGTTGATTATGAGGTTTGTTTAGTACTTTTATAGCTAAACCTCTATATACAATATGTTAAAATAGATTTCTGTCAAGCTCATATGACATCATTAACATGAATTGAATTTTACCTGTCTTCATTATTATGATGAGTTTGTAAGTATCAATGCTAAGGTTTAACTTAATAATTTGAGATAAATTAACCAATAAGTAGACAATTAATAATAAAATTTTCGACTTATTAGTTTATTCAAAGAATATTACCATTAGTTGCATCATGATTATTTTCCCTAACTGAAATTGTAATTCTTTACAGAAATAAATATGAAGTAAATCTCATCATCTAATGTATAATTCATATTTATCATTTGATTCTTTTTCTTCATGACATAAAAAAGTGAATATATGTTTTAATTTAATAATTGAATTCAAGAGTCAATTGAAGCTAGACCACCATGGAAAACCTGGAAGCCCTGAATGACCGTTTCGTCCCACTGTGAGACACTTAAGCAGAGCGGTCTCACGATCCCGACACGTGAGATTCGAACCCAGAACCCATCAGTCTCGCACGCGAATGCTTAACCTATAGACCACTGAGCCGGTATCCAGCGGTGTTAATGTCTAACCTCAACTCATCCAAGAATATACGCCACCGCCCACCATTGTCATCAGTGAGTTACTATCTCAGAACAGACCTAGTTGAACTCCACTGGTCATGGCTTTTCACCAGAACTTATGGTTTCAAATTTAATTAACATAATAGTTTGAAAAGTGAAAAATTTGTGAGATCTCAGATAATTAGTAATCAATGTAAAAAAGAATTTTACTTGTTTAAATCCTTGATACATAATTTGTAATTCTTTTCTTGAGAATCTTGTTTTTCTTAACAATGTTTTAATACCAACAGGTTTATGTCGAACAATATGACTTTCTGGTTCCTCATAGTCTGTTTCTATGAAATGGAGAAAAATAAATATAGTGTATAAAACACGGAAGATTAGGAAAAATTTAAAATATGTTATTACTTGTTAGGTGGTTAAAGATAGCCATCAGGATTGCCTAGACCTATGTTTTGAATTAGTCGGCATGCATCAACAGGGAGTTTTGTATTCTTGAAGGAATTGATGTTAAGACGTTACCATTTCGACTCATTTCGACTCATTAGTAACGTCTCACAATGTAAGCTGAATGACCTGGATTTGAGCGCATCAGCGAGGATCAATTCCTTGAAGATTCCAGGTACTGTGTGTTGAATAGCGCTATCTGTCAGAGAACTATAGTTCATGGTCTCCTGGTAGCTATCTTCAACGGCCCAACACCATAGCATAGTGCCCGAGATGTTACATTACTCAGATCACTAACTAAATTGTAATTTGATCGATGTAATCCAAGCAACATTAAGGGATTCATGGTAAGGGAGTTGAAATATTTGTGGTATCTTTGATTCTACAGAAGAACTCGCAGAAAGAATAATGTCTTCCAAAATCTCCAATTATGGGTTGCAGAAATTTGCATTGATAGACTATTCACATACAAAAAGGTAGCTGTTTTAAACTTACAAAAAACATAAGTCACTTGAATCAAATTAACTGTTTATTTCTAACTGAACAATTGGCTTATAAACTTTTACTTACAACCTAATTGTTTTATTTGTTGCTACTATACTTAAACAGATTCTTCAAGAAAAGTATATTTGTCACAGTAAAAATGTAGCAGTAGTAGAGATAATAAGTAATCTGTTTTCAGTGACTTTGTTAAAGGTAGAAACTCTTCATCATTTAATTCCGTTTAAGTAAACGAATGATATCATTGGCTTTAAAGATAAAACAACGGGCTTTGAAGCTAAGGATACAAGCATAGATATCAAGTCTCTTATAACAGTAATATAAATCAACAATAAGGACATGAATTCTACTTTCATCATAATGACATTTTAAAAATGAAATTAATGTTATGTCCAATTCAGTAAGGAGTAAGTAAAATGTAGAATATCAACAAAAAAACTTAACAGTTGTTATTAAACTATTTTCTGACAGTAAACTTCAATTCACATAGAATGTAATTTTATAAAACATTGAAGTATTGAATAAATTTCAACACATAGGTAAACCATTCAATTAAACTATCAATCAACACACAAATAAAACGTAATTATTTATAAACAAAGATGGATAGTGGCTAGCATTAGAATCCAGGCCGCGCGTTCCATCCTATTCGGGACTCGTCAGATGGATGTACCTGCATCTCAGAGTTGATGTTCACTCTGAGATTTGAACCTAGTACCGTTCGCTTCAAACGCCATCGGAGTTATCCACTTAGCTATTAAGTCCTGATAGCCATCTGTTTGTGCAATGAGGTGAAGTTTAAATTCACTTGGTGTTGTTTGTTTGTATCTTCCCATTGTTTTTTTTAAAAACTGCAATTGATCAGTCTTTTATTGGGATATGTGCATCCATCTTTGCTTAAAAACGCTTGTGACTTAAGGCAATATCGAGGCAATCTACACAGTATGTACCTAAACCAATAAGAGACTGATCAATTTCAACCCCTAACAACAATGGATAGATACAAGCAAACAACACTAAATGAATGTAATTATTTATCTATATACTTTCCGAAAATTGATTTCTCACATATATGAGAGAAAATGTTTTCAAAAAAAAAATTTTCTTAGAAAACATTGTCCGAATTTCTTTGATAAAATCTGTTTCAATAATTATCACTCATCACTGTTTTCTCATTAACTATACATAGAAATAAAACAAATTTGTACATTATATTACATTATAAGAAACATGATTACCATTTTAAAATCTTGAATTAGATTTTTTCTTTGATGTTGTAAAAGCCGAAACATTCAATTACAAAAAAAAGAACAAAAAGAAAATTTCAAATGAATTAGAGACAGTTGTTAAACATAGATGAAGATGTATAGCTAGGACTTCAACCAAAAAGAAAACAATTCATACCTCAAAGAAGATATAAATAATTAAGCATTCTTATCGAAAGTTCATTAAATAAACTTAGTAAATGAGTAAAATGAATTATTCTGATTGAAATTATGATAATTATAATAGCAGTTATAAACTATATTTTAGATCAAATGTTGAATAAAGCACTTAAATTTTATAGTATGTAATGGATAGAAATGATTTTAGATCCATGCTATGTGAAGTATATTTGATAACAAATAACCTTATAATCCTTATAATCTACTCACTAGTTTCAAAAGTTTTCTATTATGTTGGTTCGAATTCATGAGTTCACTTAATGACAGGTAATGTAAAGCGTGGAACCAACCTTACTGTTCTACATATATGTAGTTATGCTCACATCGATAATGTACTTACACTTTTGAGTTACCTAAATTTTACTGTACAAATATTTAGAAACATCTTCCTATTCTTCGTTTTCACTGACTAGTTAGGTATGTGAACCGCATATAATAAAGCCCTTTTTATGATAAGCTTACAACCTATTGCAAAGATAGTTTATGAACACATCGAGCTGAACCACTACGGTAGTTAGAACATATTCATCAACATTTGCAAATTGAAGAAATGTGAATTGATCATATTGGAACCTATGCACCTCACAGCTTGTGCTATGAAAATGATATGTCTTACGAATAAAACTAGTCAACAGCGTAATTTGATCAAGACAAAATCTAGTTAATCGCCATCGAGATACATTTTCAAATCTATTAAGTGATGAATATTCACCAGTCAGGTGAATAAATAAACAAGATTTATTACACCATTCTATATTTTATGATTAGAATACTTTGCTACAATCAGACATTCAGTACAGAATAAGGCGATGATTATTCATTAAATTAAAATATATAACTGGAGTTAGCAAATCTCATTATCGCCACTACGTAATTTTGTAGAAAAAGCCTAAAGTATATAAGCTAGCTGAGGTAACATCTCTAATGTTTGTCACTTAGTCATTTTTTAATTATTTACTATTCAATTCCTCAGGATTTAGGCAATCAATGACGAAATCTCGGCACGGATACAAAAGGCTCGACTAGCTTTTGCCAACTTGCGTCATTTATGGCGTAGGCGAGATATCCGTCTATCTTCCAAAGGACGTGTTTACTGTGCAGCAGTTCGTTCCGTCCTACTTTATGGCAGTGAAACATGGCCGGTAAGAGTAGAGGATATTCGTAGGTTACTAGTATTTGATCATAGGTGTCTTCGAAACATTTCTCGTATATCATGGGACCATCGAGTAAGTAACGCAGTTGTTAGGAAACGGGTACTAGGTGAGGATGGCAAATCAATTGATGAAGTAGTGAAACTTCATCAGTTGAGATGGCTGGAACACGTGTTACGTATGCCCAACGACCGACTGCCTCGACGTGCTATGTTCAGTGGTATAGGAGTAGGTTGGAAGAAAGCTAGGGGCGGCCAAACCAAAACATGGCACAAGTCCGTGAAGTCACTGACAAGTGAACTGTAGACTACCTGGTTGGGGACCGCGAGATGATAGCAACCGATGGTTCGAGACCCTGAATGGCATGGCTCAAAATCGTTTGCAATGGCGCAGGTGCATACACTCTTTGTGTTCTCCCTAATTCTAATCTCCTGATTCCTCCTTGTCTCTTTTTTTCCTTCCCAAATTTATTTCACTGGATTATACTCTTTAAATAGCATCTCCAAACCCTAATCTTTCCGATTACTGCTTATACTCTTGCTACCTCTACTACTACGGGATTTGAATCGATAACTGCATCTCTGTGCTAATGTGGTATGGCAACTCGAACTAATGTGCGTACGTACGAAGTTCTGCGTTGTTACTGACTGACTGACTGACTGAATCAATGAACATTTAGAGTAAAAATATTGTTAACTGTTTCCCGAAATCTACCCCTGATAATTATAATTATAGTAGTAGACATTGTTTGTTTATCAAATCAAACTATCTCAATTTATGCAAAACTATCGTTTATTGAAGGCATCTAATTTAGGCGTCATAAATGCAATAACAATATGTGAACTAAAGAATTTTCAGTCATATATTGTATAATCTGAATCATTTCATCTGGAATAAGATCTTTTAGTGCCCTTAAAGAAAACATCACATGATTAAAATCTCCCACCAGTAAAATTAATTGATAAAAATAACATTTAATCTGATGAGGTTTTTTTTGTCTTAATCGATTAAGTTTAGTTGATACACTGTAATCCATTTGAAAAAAGCAACTTCAAATAATCAAACAAGACAAAGTCAACAATAATGTAAACATAAAAAATATAATTTATTAGTATGAATTGGATGTTTCAAACGCATTTATATGTTGTAGTGGTGGTGAAAAAAAAGCAGATATCCAACGGTTAGAGAGTTAACTTATTAGTCAATGCCCAATTTTTTTTTTAAATAACTTTTGTAAATTACACAATTAAATGAATTAAACAATTTTAGATAAACACATAAACATTATTCAGCACCTTGTACAATATATTTTACTCCTAGAGTACTCTAGCTTCATAGATCATTCTTAGCATGATCTTGATGAATTCATCTTGAAGCGAGTCCAGAATGATTAAAGAAATTTGTCAAGATCATCAGTTTTGAAAACGATTGTTATGTGGATTTTTATTTACAAAACAGGTCGTCTAGGATCATTATTATTCATTCATAATGTTAAGACAATTCCTAATGAGGTTATAATCATACTCTTTTGAATAATCAAATCAAGGACAAATGGCAGCCTACTGTTTCTTGATTTTTAGTGATTCTATGTGTAAAATCAGTGTTTATAAACCTCGTATTCATAAACTTCAATGAAATATGACAAAACAATAATCACTGGTTGTTTCATAAACCCATCAACTCACAGTGGATTATATTGACCTTGTTTTACTGCATTGTAATTGGTCAACAAAGATTTTGGATGAAATTTTGTTTATTTAATGACAGGATTAGATCATAAACTAAGTACTG